CAACCCCTCTTCGGCCATCTTGACAAATTCCCTCTCTGGTAGGTTCGTGCGGCACCAGTTCCTGCATGTTTTGAACCGCTGCAAGTAGTCGCGAGGTTATTCGTCTGACGCCTGGCTCATTCTTGCTAGCTCGGCTACCGTTATTTCTCGGTTGGTCTGATAGAAATGTTCGTGGAATATTCTTTCCATATCAGACCAATCCCTTACCGAATTCGGCAGAAGGTTTATGAACCATGAGAACGCCGCGCTGGTCAGGGAGTGAACAAATAAACGGAGCTTCTGTGCGTCTGAATTGGCCTCTCCACACTGGGCCGTGAAGCGGCCTATGTGTTCAATGGAGGAGGTCTGCCCATCCCCGGAGAACAGCATGAATTCTGGCAATCGATAGTTCCGGGGAAGAAGGGTTCGGTCAATTTTCGGCGGGTACGGCTTTGTATACCTTGGCGCCTCCGGTCGCCTCTGAGCGAGGCCGTCCTCAATTATTCGCCGGACATCTTCGAATCGGAGCCCTTGAGGGGGTGCTTCTTGTTGGGCCGAATACGGCCGCGGGACCTGCTGCACATCGTTCTGCGGCCTTATCTGTTGGGTCATCTGAACAGGGGGCTCGGCTAGGACGGCCGAGCTGGCTGGCGCCAGGTGAGCGCCATGGGTTTGGCCGGGGTGCGTGTATGCTACCATCAGAATAGCCGGACCGTAATGAAGGTGGGAGCCCAACGGGAATAACGACGCCTGCAAGGGAGGCGAAACGGTCGGATTGCTCTAACCGTACTGTTGTGATGGAGCAACGGTCGCGCCGCCTGGGCCAGGGTGGGTCTGGACTGCCGCAGTGTGAACTGGGCCAAGCTGCTGAATCGCGGAATGCGAGGGACTGGTTTGTCCCAAGGATACGGCCAAAGCTTGGAGTGGTCCGTACGCCGTTTCTGCCGGGTAGGTTGGTCCAGAGCTTGCCCATGTGGGTTGGGACTGCCCCCAGCTATTCGTCGGCGACAGCGAATGCTAACCGTACCCTGACGCTTGGGTTCGGCCAGAGATGCTGAGGCTGCTGCTTTCGCCGTAGGGCTCGATCCTTTTGCGCTCTCGGTCTCTCTGTCAGGCTCTAGGAGGTGTCGCGAGCGAGGTTGCCGGCGGCTTCTCCTGGAAAAGCGTCCGTAATTCCTAGGAAAATTTGTCCATTGCGGCCATAAAAGGATGTCTCTATCCTGTGGGCCTGCTTAGACATCAAATCTTCCACCACGGCCTGCTCTTGCATGGACTCGGCCGGGCGATCCGTCGTTACTGGGACGCTGGCCGAGATTCTGACCGCGTGCTCGATCTTGGTGACAGTGATTGGTGAGGTGGACTCAGGAGTCTCAGAAGTCCTTTCGACTGCTTTGTTTTTGAGCTCTGCCTGTGCCCTAGTTTCCACCATGAGTTTTTGACAAGTGTCCCACTTGGCGTGCCAAAAGTGTCGGCTGCGCAGATCTGACGGCCTGGGGTTCCTGGCCGAGGGGATGTGCGTTGACACGTGGCTTCCTGCTTTTGGATGCGGTGCGGTTGTGCGCGGGCGTGCTAGCACGGTCTACCGTGCGTCGAGAGGTTGATGTGGATGGAAATGGTTAAGTGGTGCGCCTGTTGAACTCGTCTTCTAATCAAACGACTGTAGTCGAGAGAGGAAGTGATCTCGGCTGCAAGGTTCACGGCCTGAGCTACAAGGCCGTTTAGGGGTGGTGCTGATGGCGAGTTTTGGGCGGTGCTCCCACGCGCTGCTCAGTGAGCGGCGGTCGTATGATATATGGGGTGAATGAATGAGTAACAGAGATGGTGCTCCGGTGCCTTGAAAATCAAGGGTCGTATGATATATTGATGAATGGATTTTCCTTACAAACTAACACTACTCCTAGGAAAGCAAATAAAGATATTGAAAGTGCATTACAGGAAAATATAATTTGCTCCGTGGGAGGCTTTTGTTTGGTATTTGAACCTCTTGAAAGTAGTCTTGAGCCTTGTATTTATAGGAAGAGTTCCTGGAGGAGTAATCGAGGCTGAAATC